AAGGGGGTCGAGGGGACTGTAGCAATTATCGTGGCATCACACAGCTCAGTATACCAGGCAAGGTTTTCGCCCACATCCTTCTGAAACGGATCCATGACCACTTACTTAGGCACCAGAAACCGGGGCAGTCTGGATTCACTCCTGGCAAGTCCACATTAGAAAGTATCCTAGCATTCCGAGTCACTGTGGAACGCCATCGTGAGTTCGGTCGTGGGCTAATTGCAGCCTGCATCGATCTCAAGAAGGCCTTTGACTCGCCAATCGCCATGGGAGATCCTGAGACTTAGGGGAATTCCAACACGGATTAATAGCAAGCCTATATGCCTATATGCATCTACACACACGCATACATATGTGTGTGTGTGTGTGTACATATATATATATATATATATATATATATATATATATATATATATATATATATATATATGTATATATATATACACACACACACACACACACACATACACACACACACACACACACACACACGCACGCACGCACACACACGCACGCACGCACACGCACGCACGCACACACACGCACGCACGCACGCACGCACACGCACGCACGCACGCACGCACACACACACACACACACATATGTATATGTATACAAATACACACACACACATATGTATATGTATACAAACACACACACACACACACACACACACACACACACACACACACACACACACACACACACACACACACACACACACATATATATATATATATATATATATATATATATATATATATATATATATATATATTATATATATATATTATATAAATCTTAACCATACAATGTTGAGACTCCCAGTTGCTCCGCGTTCAAGCCCCCCGCCAGCACAGCCGACCCTCGGAACCACAACAACATCGGCGGCGGCGAGGACGGACGGGGACAACACGCGAGCTAAGGAAAAAAAACGTTCAAAATGTAATTCAAGTGTGATTTCTTGGAGATTTATATGCTTCAGGCTTCATTGAGCTTATCGAATTTACAGATGCTGTAGACAAGAATCAGAATTTTTAAGATGTATATAAAAGAACACAGGGTCCTGGGAACGGGAGAGGCAATGTGGTTCGAGGTATATAATATCTCGAAGATAAAACCACTGCATGAAATTAAGAATCTAGGCATTGGGCATGTAAATTGTAAACAGCCGATATCCAGTAAAAGTTCACGTTATGCTGACGGAACTCTATTCCCTGTAGAACAGACAGATACACAAGAGCCTCAAATACAACATCAGGACCTTTGGGGTCAGTATTTCAGTATTTTGTTACCAAGAGCGAATCACCCTCCTGAAACCAGTTAATCATGCTGAACCAAAATCTGTAACCTTTTGTGGCTTCCATTTTTTCGTTCAACAATACACGGCATTAAGGCTGTGTGAGGGTCTGTGAACGGTGATATGCAACAGATATTTTCATCATTTTGCAATAAACATGAGGCCGGAGCATCTGTACCTATGTTTGACTCTATTTCTTTTGCTCTATATCAGACCTACTCAACTCAGGGCCACATTCTGAATCTAGATCTCCTGAGTGTTGTAGTGGGACCCCAGGCTCCAGGAGGAGAAAAGTATAATTGATTAAAATGAAGGTGACGGATTTTTGAAAGGGTATTTCCTTAACTGACGGTAGGGCAAGATTAAGGGTTCATCATACATTTCCAACTAATGCCCCCAGGGCCTTAGACATAAGTTTAGAATAGTTTAGAATGTTAGAATATTTTCACAAGTGCATGTAAAATATTTATCCGGACCTCTACATATATTGGAACTTTTCTAACTGGATCTTTGGAGCTTTATATGATGGCAGTGTCCATTTCCCTCTGTCTCTGTGCATCACTCGTGGTAACAACAACCGAAATTCCATGGATTTCAACGAAATCCTTAAAAATTACTTTACAAGGAAAACTTTGCCAATATCCAGATGTTATAAATATCAAAGATATGGTTATGGTACAGTAACATGTAAAAATAAACAACGATGGCTTTAACCACACATTCAAAGTATATATCAATGAGTCATACTGTTTTTACTGCATGGTTTTCCCCTGCCATGGGCCTCAGCCTTTGCCTCAGCTAATTTTGCGTGGTCTTGTCTTCTGCGTTCTTTTTCCGTCACTTCATGCCCTTCTTTAGTCCACTAATTCCAATCGTCAACTCATTTTTACCCCTTTTTGTCACAGTACTTTATAATGCTATATGACCTTTGTCTAACATATTTATTTGTTTTAACCCGGTGCCGCCGGGGAAAATTAATAATAAAGGGGGAAAATGCTGTGCTCATTTTTCATATTTTTTATGAAATGTCTCTGCACATAGATGGTTCTGCTAGTGCTTAGTCACAAAGGAGTCAATTAGTAGACCTTGTGACCTTACCTGATTTGAATTGGCAGGAAAAATGTATTTTTTACAAGTGCTACGAATATCAATAGTGTTATTTTTATTATAAACATTATAATTACTATACTGTTATAAACTTTAGTAACAGCAAAATATTATAACGTAAAATATTCTCGTAAATCAAAGAAAAGGGTAAATGGACGAGAGAAGCAGTGCTCGTAATTGTCTCAATGGTGACTTAGTACAAGTGTAGCCATCTATGTGTAAAAACAATCAAACAAGTAACTCACAGTGGGCATGGCACGTACGTACACGTTATGCCCGTAGGCATTGGGTTAACCATTAACCATTCTGGGAATCCACAAACATCGCATTATGAACCAAAGAATTCCTTAATCAGGAGCTTCATCCCCTAACATCATCCTATCGTTGTATTTAGAATACGTCACTAATGACCTTAGATGTTGACAGGGCATAAAATTTTCAATAAAACTTTAAATATCAGTCCTCACCTTAACTAATTTCACACGGTACTTTCTTCTCCTTTCTTTTCCTTCTCTTTTTCATCCTTTTTACTGTCCACTTCCTAAGGCATGAGATCCATGCTGAAAGGATGAAAGGCTGGCCTTATGTCATTCCTGAACGGCATCCGGGAGCCATGGGGAGGGTATGCCCTTGGTTAATCACTTAGCCCTTACCCCTTATGGGGACCCATTGGTGGTAAACTGTTTCTTCTACCCTCTTGTTTCAGGTTCATGATGGCCAATAATGAAGATTTTGTAGCCTTATTAGGGGCATTAAGGTTTGCCCCTTCTTCAACTAGCCTATCTCAATTTGATGTGTCACATACCCCTCTTCCTATCCATTCCAATTTATCCACCCAGGTCATTACTAAAGCTTCTGAGTATGCCCTTTCCTCTCTCCGAACATCCTCCACTCCATCTCGTACTGTGCAGCCTTCATCATTGTCTACCCCCTCTCCCGTTATTACTACTCTTCAGCCTTATTGTCCTCCTCCCCAAGGTACTACCTCTCTCCATACCACCCCATCTCCCTCCCACCGTCATCCTTCTACTGCTTCCACCTCTGCAACCATTTGAGTACCCTTTTTACCCCAGCCAAGTGGGATCAATTCTTTTTGATTCCCCATCAGACCTTACTCTGGCAATAGCCTTCTCTTTCAACAGTGTCTCCATAATTGCATAAAATACATGACTTAAAAATATATTAAAAAAACAACACAGTAGCTTATCAGTATCTAACATCTTTTTCCGCAGAGAACAGTATGGAAGTTATATCTGCAGAAGGCTTTCGACAAGATGGTCGAACACCAACATGTCTGAGAACTATTAGTTGCAGATTAGGACTTTACGACAGACCCAATGGAAGCGCTTACATAGAAATGGGAAACACTAAAGTTCTTGCTGCTGTGTATGGCCCTAGAGAGGTTGGTGTGGATTTTGTGAAGTGAGTTATTGATTACAAAGTTTGAATCATATCTAATTACATAACGAGGATAAGGAGAATCATAGCTATAAATTATTAATTAAATAGATACTTACATAATTTTTTTTTCTAGGTTCGCAGTTTGGGTAAACAGCAGTTTGATGAATGTATAATTCAGTGCCAGATGAGTCGCATTGCAGCTTCCCAGGGAGAGCGCCTAAAACGACCAACTGACCAGAGAACTCGAGCAATGAGCCAACAAATTGCAGGTGTATTTCATGCAGCCATAAGGAAGAGCAAATACCCAGGTTCTCAGATTGACATATATCTCCAGGTAAGAAAACGAGTAAGGAAGAAATAAATTCACAAGGATTTCTTTCTTTGAAGGAAAAGTTATCCTTTCATTATCAATTTTGAAAATGGGTTGAAATGGAAGACAATTTTTTTCATTATCTGGTAAATCATTATCTGTCAGAAATCATCTTTAATGATACTAGAATGTTTTTGCACAGGAAGTAGACAAAATTTTCTTTTTATATTGTATTTACTGGGAATTATCTCAAAATATATAGCTTTTTTATCTTTCAAAATGATTTTAAATACCATGAATATGAAATATAAATAAGAGGTTACAATAATTACCCTCATGTTTTCATACAAGGAGCTGTAAGATTTATGAAACACATTGCTATCAATGTTATGATATTATGATTATTAAATTGTCATTAAAATATTTTAGACAATGAAATGATACAAAAAAAACTTTCCTAAAGTGAAGGAAAAGAGTATAAGTAGTTCTGATAAACTGGCTTTTTGGTGATTAAGAACTTGTAGAGCCATCTATATGTATATACAATAAATAAACATGTATTACAGTGAGCATAGCATATATTCTTGCCACATGGGGAAAATGGGTTAATGGCATAATGTTTGTCAAATTATTTGTTGTTTTATTGGCTGATAGCTGATTTATTTTTTTCTTTGAATACTGTCAATTTATATCAAAGTTGTCATAATCTGTCAATCTGTTGAATAACTTTGTGATTTGTTCCACACATTGTTTGACTTTTAAGACCAGCACCCTTTGAATTTAGAATTTGTGTCAGTTATGTATATAACATTGGGTTAGCTGTGTGGGAAAGGTCTAGAAGAATGCTGAATTATTGTCTTGCGATCTGTATTTATTTAAATG